GAAATTGCCGCAGGCTGCACATCACCACACGAATGGACTTTTGTTTCAGAAAACAAGAAGAATTTTATAAAATTAGACTTATCCATTATAAATAGTGAGATAGAAAAAAGGTGTTTCTCATTTAAATAGCCTTCTTTTTCGTATCAACATTATGATTATTTAGTAGTGAATATTTTGAAACTATCCGTATCGCTTCTATAGCCTAGGTTTACACTTTTTTGCATATTTATTGAAGTGTGCGGGTGAAGAACAAGATAAGTACCACTAAGCAATTATTCCGGAAGAAGAAATGAAAAAACCTCAGATCATTGTGCATCCTCTCGACTACAGGGCGAACTGTTTATATGTCCCAATGTCCTACTCAGTTTTGCACAACCAGAAAGGTTTCCGTTAGAACAGAAAATATCTTTTGTCACAAATAACACAAAAATGAATTCAACTCCCTATTTATTGATAAAGCACGTTTTAAAATGAGCTGATGAAAACTTTCTAGTATTCCGCACTATCTAGATACTTTTTAAGTAAATATATTACGAGAAACGACGACAGGCTGAGTTAGCTCAGGGCAACAGGTGTTTCCGCTGCAGCGACTCTGACCGGGAGGATCTAGGGTTCGAAATCCGGTGGATTTTCGACACTGTCTAGATAGCTAAGAAAAATTCAGTCTCTGTCTGACTGAGTAGTTTTTTTTTTTACACACACACTAAATTACTATCCATGTTAGAAGACCAGTCGAAAGCTTAGAGCTTGCCCCGGCTTGGGGCGGTACCAGTCGCAAGTAGACTTGTCATAACATCAACTACACTTACGGGTCTATTGACCACAGCCGTAGTCACGCCCAGAAATAAAAAAAATTAGATCATTTGACACGATCGAGGAGGCCTAAATCTTTATGTTCAACTGAATATCCTAGTTTTGCACTAGCCGCACTCTTTTCATTAATCGATTTATCATCGATTCAAACTAATGTTTATGAACCCTATGTTTCTCACGCGTTAATATTACAGAGTTATATCAGTTCTGAATTGATATTCTCCTTCCCGCAATAACGTGTCGAAAGAAAAAGGAAGATTTGTGCTGGTTACATTATCAACTTGCTAGATTAGTTTTCATAATTCATGTGAGTATAGTGTTCAAGAATCAAGTGGCAAACCAAATTGAACCCAAGCAAAATATTTAGAACATCTACATAAAACTTACACGTTGCGTAAAATGTAATCTCCTGACATCAACGGAGATTTTTCACTCTATGTACGGCAAATACAAGATGTTTTTATGACCAGTATGCAAATGCTTGCGTGAAGTTATGAGAGGCGCAGCAAAGATACACACGAGAACAGGGAATATAAACAAATCATTATCATTAGTATGCATAGTCAATTCAGCAATGGATTCTCTGCGCACAGTCACAGTGCCATCTTGTTGCAAAACTTGTTCGTTTTCGACTACACTATAGAGAGCGAAGTAAAAATATGAAATCCTAGAAACAGTTAGCCCGCAGGTCACAAGAAGAAAAATACTTCATTAACGTGTAAATTATTCTTCCATGGAATGACTTATATTAGGAATGAATTTCCATTAACTTTTACACTAAAAGGAAAAACGTATCATTCCTTAATACATTACTGGAGAGTGTTAGAACCAAAAGTGAAAGTCAATTACTTTGTATGCAATTCAAAATATGAGATCAGTTCATGCACATGTTACGGCCCAATGCTACAGAAATGGTGTAAGAAAAGTTCAATTGTGAAAAGTATGAAACGATTTGTATGAACTTACAATGATACATAAGGAATTTGCAATCTCCATTTCAATGTATGTATTCTACATTAATGTTTTAACCCGAAAAGAAAATTAATAAAATTAATAAAATTGTCAAAATCATGAATACAGAATCTAAATTGATGTGCTATAGTAAGTAAAGAATTAGGGCGATATATACTCTGTCCACTCAGTACATTCCAATAATTAAAAACACAAAATATTATACTCGTATTTTATAGTTTCAATAATTTAAAGACACAAACCATCATTTGCCTTTTTTTGACGAGCATATTAATTCAATATGGAATGTTACTTAATAAACATTCAATAAAATGCCTTTGACGGGGAATGAATACGATGACTACGATTTTGAAACTTTCGTGTTAATGATGGGTAATATTTGGCAAATTATGAAAGTCATGAACGCACTCTGTGGAATTGCTTTTATAGCGGAACTGCTTCAGGAGGACCTCTTAGAAACCGAGGCGCTCAGGCATGTTAAAATGCTGCTCAAGGACGCGCTTCCGTCTAATTATCACTAACAAGTTGTCTAATGAGGCCCACGCAGTCCCAGAAGTAAAGATTCGATCAATTCAACAAAGCTAACTCTTTACGTTGTACATTGAATGTTTCGTTAGTTCTATCAACATCGGTAGTCCTGTAAGTTTAGAAATGTGTTTTGTTCGTTTGGCAGTTTTCAATGCTGCAAAATGTGTTCCTAATGATATTATAGTTAATACAACTAACACGGATTTCTTTTCTGCGCATTACACTTGTAACGTGAAATAGATCCATCCTAGTCAATAGGTTATGGAAAAGGAAGATTCTCTCACTTCATGAAACGATGAGTAATAAGAATCATAAAAATTTATTATCACTGCTGTTATTATTACTTATATAATGTTAGTAATGATCGAGTGAATGAAAAATCAATACGGGCATGGCAGACGAAAGAACGGGAGCACATCCCGCGAACCCACTTTCTCCTTACAAATTCCAGTACGCGGACGCTTAAAGCTAACGCGGTGATTAACGCAACCTTGCAGTTTGATTGCTTATAATCTGAAGAAGATAATGTGAAAGTCTTCCTCTGACATATTCTCTCTAGGAAACACATCAAATGATTTCGTCATCGAACTAACGTCGGATCTCTCGGAAACCGAGGTAACAAGCGCATGCAGTAGCCGGCCGCTCCTCACGGTCACAGCACAAGGGCGAGCGACTTCCAGTTTCTAACTCTCTTTCGCAGATTCCACGCCCGACGAAATGGGGTCAAATCATCAGAAGCGAACGAAACTCGCGTAAGTGGGATTCCTTGAAAGAGATTCGCCGTAAGTGCGTGACCTCGGGGGGGAAGCCCGCTCACGCAGTGACTCAAAGCCGCACGCACGCACCGAGCGACGTAACGCGCTCCGATCGATCTTCATTTTTCTCCTGGGCGACGTATGAATGAAAACACTAGCCTCCGCTTTGCGTGCTCTCGCCCCATTGCATTTCGCCGCTTTAAGGAGCGAGGTTGCTCTACATCTTGTAGTTTCTCATTCATATTAAGAAGGCTGTGACAGTTTAGTGTCGATCTATGTGGAAGTTAATTTCAGAGTAAATTGGGTTATTATGCATGCTTGATTGTATCGTTACACTACATTATTCATAATGAGTGCTGATTTGAATAATATTCAGAGCAGGTTCTATTTTCAATGCAGCGAGACTTGTCGGAACGAATGAAAGTAAATGAAGGGTAAAGAGTTGTAGTACAGTTCTTGTTTTCCAAAAAAGTAGTAGCACACGCCATTGAAAATGAATATTTTTCAGTTAGCTAAGGCGAAAATTGTTTGGTCTTCAATGAAACCTGAAGAGGGATGCCCGTTTAATTAAATTCGATATATTACGTTCGTAATGTTACTTATTCGAATTCCTTACAAACTCAGCCAAGATTTACATGACTATTCCTATATTTTGTTTAATAGACTCTGAATTCCTGACTGATAGCTCTTGTCTCTTCAACTGCTTTAAAATTGTGTCAGAAATAAACAACCGTCCAATTAAAAAATCAAATTTGTCTCAATATCTCAAAAATGTCAAAAATGTTAAAAATAAGACAACAAAATATATTTACCGCATCATCTTCAACAATTTTGTGGAAACATCGAACGCTAACTGAAACAATTTCGAGGATGTTGGGTGTGGCCAAATTTGGTGGTCCCTTCTGTAGCCCCTGGCTTTGCTTCTGTATAATGAATAATATTCCCTTTCATTTCGGGTAAGAAATAGAACATGAACTACATGATTTATGGTTTTTTATTTAAGTTTTTTATATTTTTTAAATAAAAAATGCTATATACACTTCGCATTCTATTTATTGGTCTACGAATATTCCTAAACCTTTATTTTTTCTTCCGGGGGCTTTCTCCAGCTTTCAGGAACTGCCGATTTCGGTTATCCGCGCCCGACACCTACTATGCCCTTCATGGAGACACACACAAACCATTACACTAGGCACGTTTGCGGGCTCCTCGGTCTGCAGTGAGAGGACTCAAGGCCTTCTGCGAGAATACACAACATGCGCACGGCAGGACTCGAACCCGCGGCCCGAACGTCTGAGGCGCTGAGTCGGCACACCCTCCAGCTACCTCTGCCATCCAGATCCATCGGCACGAATATGTCTAAAACTACTTGAGCTTAATTTAATCCTAGCAATACCATGGTCTCGTGCATTACCAAGGTGAGTGAACCGGAGCTACCAATCAAATTATGATTTTATTGGCGTTTTTAAGATTTTGAACTGATAGAACAAACAATATACAAGTACATTAATTTTAAGAAAACATTATTGAATTTCAAACTCTACAAATAAATAATGATGTACTTCGAGCATAAATATTAGTGTCCAAACCTATTACATGGTTATATCAAATAAAGACTTATTCATCTTTATAAAATGAAGTACTTAATGCCTGTAAATATTTTCGAAAAGTACATTTTCGTGTAGGTAGTCTCTAATATCTTTGCACACATTCAAATACATTATAAAAACTCAAATTCTAGCTAACACGTGTGATAAATTGCATCGTATTTTAGATAAAATGCACATCCACAATAATATCAATTATTTTCATCTCCATAAAAATTGAAACCAATAAACAAATAGTCTGCTGGCCTCAAAGACTTCCCCCCTTGCTAGCGTTAATAGCACACTGCCCTGTTTCCAGTCATGAATGGCGCTTGTCATCGCTTACCAAAGACGGTGCACGGGGTCTGGCCAAGGCCCTGGCCGCTGAGCTGCACGATGGCCAGCGCCAGGTAGGCGACGGCCATGCAGCCGGCGTAGCAGCACAGCGCGCGCCCGTGCAGGTCGCGCAGCTCGCGGATCCACTGGTACACGCACACCGTCGCCAGCAGGAACGGCACCGACACCAGCAGCCCTGCGGACACCCACGCACGCACTTACACACTCGCACGTGAACAGAGAGAGAGAGGGAGAGAATAAAGAGGGGCGGAATGTCGTCAGTGCGTGACATATCGCTCATTCGTCACAACTCAAATATTATTATTATTCGTCGTTATTATTACACGTCGGCCCCGTGACGCAGACGGTTGCGGCAGCCGTCGTCTGTTCCGAGGAGGCTGCAGGTTCGAGTCCTGCGTAGACATGGTCGTATTTGTGATTGTCCCTTCACCTATCATCGTCATCTTTTCATCTCATAATTCGCACTTCAAGGCGTAACAACCTTGTTGTAATCCAAGGATAGAGCGGAAAAGCTGATCCTGGAAGAATTATACACGTTAATCGTGTAGCGTGGTCAGTAATGGCCTATACGCCAATAATGATAATAATATGCCGATTCGATGGTCGAAATCGCTAAACCAGTAGTGCTGTGGCGGTCTCGGATAATTTTGAAATTACCATTGCAAGTAATCCTCATCGAATTGTAACAAACTGTAGTGAATAATCAATTAGATGTCATTTGGGAACGTGCAACCCATAAACAAAGATAATCAATGCTACTCTAAAATATATAATATTTTTGAATGATTAAATATTAACTGTATAAACAAAATGAATACCTCTCTATGATATGTCGAATCTATATCTTGTTTTGTTCTTAAAACAATTTATTTCAGCTTCAATGGCGTGAGAGTAAAAAAATTATGGGTATCATAAATATCCGGGTTATATTATATTTAAAAAAATGCTAAGACGTTTTAAAAATTTAGAGACTCAGTGGATTTGCTATTGTTTCTTAGGCTATCTTAATTCCGATTCATATCAAGAAATTGAACTCGCTACTTTCCCTGGAATTATGGACATGCTATTTGCTTATGGGAAAATAATTTTTTTTGTTGGCGCGTGTATTCTGAAAATACGCTTCCATTCATGCCAAGGCATTAATGTTGACTAGCATAATGAGTTCTCCTACTTGAATGAATGAATTCCTGTTCTACGCATAATATAAATATACCAGAAATGAGTTATAAGGAGGAAAACATGTTCACATTTCACAGAGAGGCACGATCGTATTTTCTCATGTGGTTAAATGATGATACACGAATTGAATATCAAAGTTCAGATGAATGTGAATAAGGTGTATTATTTTAATTTCATCGAACAACGTCAAAGAAATCCCAAATTAGCACATGTCGTCACGTCGAGCGTCACAAGGCTGAAGGCCCAGATTGTCGCTATATTAAGCCCTGCACTCTCACCAACATTTCTGCGACGTTGAATAATGGACTAAATGGTCTTCGCTAAACACTCGCCCTCACAAAATTTTCGACGCCTTTGATTGAGTCAGGAATGAACGCGAGGTTCGTTTTCGATAACTGCGCCTCTGTGCCCAATGACGCAAAATTAAATCCCGCGAAGACAGGAGGCGAGTGGTCAATGGACGTGTGGGTTTGAGAATGCGCACCATTAGGATTTCAAACGCTTCGCACCTGGTAGCGCGCTGCGCAGTGGTCCAAAATGAATAGAAAAGATACCAAAATTAGATTTTTTGAGCTAAGAATTGCAAGTACAGCTACAGCACTTTGTGTAGTAATAATATATTAATTTGACGATGAAATGGGTTCCTTTGGGAAGATAAATAAGGAAGGCCACCAAAGTCATTGAGAATATACATATACATACACACACACATACATACATACATACATACATACATACATACATACATACATACATACATACATATATATATATATATATATATATATATATATATATATAATGCAAATTTAGTTGTACGAGTGAAGAATAGAGAAAAAGTTAACTAACTTTTAAGGATACATCTAAATCTTATCTTATTATGTTAAAAAAACAGACACAAAAAGTAAAAAAAAGTTGTCAAACCTATCCCAAGACTTGAAAAGTGGGTGTATCTCTGTATATGTCGATGCGCTGAATCCGAATCTGAAGAGAGATTTGCACCAACACCCTCCAGTTTTTTTAAATCGCGAAAACCCTCAATGAATATGTTTTTCTTGTTTTCACACATGTCAAATACCAATGACATGTCATAATACAGTTGTTTACAAAAATTAACTTTGAAAGTTTATAAATATATAAAGCCGTTATACAAAAAATAACGTATGCAACTCTTTTATAAAAATTTTTTATTGCGTTCTTACAAACTTCAAAACTCACTCCTAACGTTACTCGTTTCAAAGACGCAACCTTGTGCAATAAAGCTTAACATTGTAAACTAGTTGCACCATGTATGTATTACTATGAATAAAATATGATTGTCGTACACAATTGTTGGCGAAGGCGGTGGTGCAGTGGTGGAATGATAAACAGGGAACGAGTAAAGAAAAATGTTTAAAATCAGATTCTCATAATACGTACACAGAATTAAATTCAAAGATTTTTCACATTTTGCCATCTGTTCGAACCACTGTGCGCCGTTGGCGGTCGCCCCGTGTCGTCGCGAGAAGCAGATCTCGGTAGGTTTGGAAGCCGAGCGGCGGATGAGGACGCGATGTTTTTTAACCGCCGCGCCACCGCGAATGTGTGTACATTGGGCTGTCGTGAATAAGCCACGGACGTCTTTCTCCCGAACGATGTTTACTTTCCACAGCTGTAAGCGCCGTGGAGACTTAACTGGCGATTTTCGCTATCCACCGTCGCTGAAATGTCAGGGTTGCGGGAATCACGTGGAATACAACGGCTGAAGGGCTTCTAATAACCTGATGGTTACATGAACTCCTGTTATTTTCGACGTTCGATCTCAGTTCAACCTACGTTAATTGTTTTGCATTGTACGGGTATTGACATTTCTTACGGTTAGTATGCATTCACATGTTTGTATTTCCTGATCTTTAGGTAGTCATTGAGGCTTCAAATACCAGTTTTAAATGTTTTCCATAAGTAATGTTAAAGATAGTATATGCCATGAACTTTTTTGTTAATGACGTGACAGACAGAATGGATTTGTTTTTAAACAAATTATGTAAGGAAATTGGTGATTGCGCCCTAGGTGACCCTTTGATTCAAAACATTGACTGGCTACACTTTGCAATTACCTTTAACAGTTGCTCACTGGTAAGCGCCTTGAGGAAATCATTCCAATGTTTCCTTATTACTGAAGAAAAAAACCTTGAGTGAACTACGAGGATATTCACTTAATGCACACTTTAATAGACAAAGAGGTTAGAAATATTTGCGTGAAGGGATAATAATCTGTACCCGGAAGAAATATTAATGTTTTTACAGTATCGGATTGCTCGGGAACAAACGTGTAAGGAAGTCGTAGTCATCAAGCGCGAGCGCTGAGCAGTGCAGGATAGGGAAAAGTGCACACAACTAGTCACTGAGGTCATTGATGGCAGTGCAGCATACTACTACACGCACACCGGCAATATACACCTGGCCCCGCGTGAGTCCAAACAGATAGCGCGGGACAGAGTCCGCAGAAGCGCCCTCCTCCACTCCATGTAACAGGAAGCTAGCTGCGGAACAACAAAAAAGATCTGCAACAACACCAGACGACAACCTGGAGCCCCTGCCTAGATCTCGAATAGATTTATGTATTATAAAAATATATATAATAGATACATATAGAAGTAAGAATTTACACTAAGCCAGACAGCAACCGACATATGTATATATTAGATTAAGAAATAAATATCTGTGTTAAGGGAAACGGGCTTTTTTTTTTCTACTCACCGAGCGGGTAGAAAATGCGATGCAGCTGGGAGCCCTGCTCGGCCTTGCTCACGGGGAAGCACAGGAAGGTGAGGGTGGCGGTGGTGTTGGCGTCCGCGTCCATCCAGGTCTCCATGCAGTACTGCTCGCGCGGGAAAGGCGCGGGCTGCGTGCCGGGCACGTGCAGCGTGCCGTCCGCCAGCAGCTCGAACGCGTCCTGCGCTTCCTCCTCCGGCACCAGCACGTACCTGCCACACAACACATCCACCATTGCTATTTACGAAACCTCTCCGTCCACGTTCGTAATCCCATTGTCAAACGTTTCCAAGAGTTAAATATGAAATAACTGAAGATATCTTCGTGAAGGTGCTAGATTTATTCAGATAGCTGGCTTTCGATGGTTTTGCCGTGATCATCCGTCTCGCTACACGAGCCGGGAGACAGTGCGCCTTAATGTGATGCTTGATTGTTTCAAGGACCGTTAAGTGCTACGGTCATTAGTCCCGTTAATGTAGGAAATGTTTTATTCCGGGAGGTGGAAGTGTTTCTCCCACTGAATGGTGAGATCTGGCGTCAACCTACATGTCGGGTTGCGAGGTATTTCCCCTACCAGGCATCTCTCCTCAATAGGACATGCCCCCCCCCCAGCCGGGACAAGCTCTAAGCTCTCGATTGGTCTTCCGAAATGTGAGGTAGTGAACTGCATGAAAATGCAAGTGTAACTACTCTTAACATCGATCTGTAGGAGCATAGTAGGAGCTTGTGAATGAGGTACATCGCACCGGGGTCCCTGAAGTCAGCTAATAACTGTGGGGGGTTACTGCTCAAAAATATTTTGAAGGTACCTTATAGTACGAAATTCTGTAACGACTTGCATACCAACCGAAATTAAGGTTATTTATTATTATTACAGCAATATTACATGTAGGAAAATTACTTCTAAAATAATTTGGCATGCAGTCCAAAGCATTTGCTACGTCGTCATCTGAATGCTTCAGCACTTCACAGGTGCTTGCACATTCAAGCAGTGCTCCCTTCCAACACTTACCACCCGATTATACAGGACGAATACAAAAGCATTTCTTGATTAATATTTTTTGAAATTTCAGGCAGTTTAATGAAAATCATACCTGCGTTCTTTTTATGAGGCTTTTGATCGTCCCAAAGAAAAAATTTAGGAAACAATTTGGCGCCATTTTTAAGAATAAAATAACAGTTGCATTAACTTCAAATAGAAATGACGCGACAACTACATCTAGTTTAAACAAAGTGTTCATGCTCTTATTTAAAGATATAATTGTTTGGAATATTGTTTCATTCATTGTTGGGAAAAAACTCTCTGTTCAATATTGTAATTGTAGGAAGACGTCGAAAAATGTTTTGACTTTTCGAATTTTGGAAAGTTCATAATCTCAACGATAATAAGCCTGCAACATTTATAAGAGCCCTTTATGATACCCGAGAAAAAAAAATTGGACCCATTTTTTGATTTGTCAGGAATTTTAAAATGTCACAATTTCAAGTAAAGTATCCTCCAAAAATCATAATATCCGTTTCAAAATCACAGAGCTTCGAGTTCATCTAGGTCAATTGAGGAATATAAATTTTGAAGAAAATCATCTTTAAGGTTTTAGCCACGAAGGCCACGAAAACGATGGAGAGAAACTGTGAGGACGGAACAGGCAGTAGCCTAATCCATGAAGTTAAGAAGGTTTTAGCGCCATTATTGGCTGGCAGACGTTTTGTCATCAGTTTTTCATCAAGGACGCACAAATTTTAAATTCGGACTATACAACGTATTAGAGTAATCCACTTTTTCCATTCCAAAGCCTCTCAATTCAAGCTTTTCTTTCGAAAAGTTGTCAATTTTTACTGCAGTATTACAAAACCTTCTCTATACTATGTAAGTATGTAAAAGCGGCTAGAAAAAAAGTGTATGGATCAAAATACAGGTATGAAACTACCAAATAGCTGTATCACCGCAAAAATTGTGAACGATAAATTAATATATTAATGACTTAAATGCAGACGAATTACCTACACTACGTGGAATCTCAGACACCATACTACGTATTACAACAAAAGTTTCGTTGTGGTCGTTAGAAATAGTAATCTCCGTGTTGTATCTAACCTCATAACATGGGTTAAGCGGTGATATTTATTTACTCGCGTTTTTAAAGAATTTTCTTAAACATTATAAGATTTATCCATACTAGTGTTGGTTGAATGTTCGTGGCTTGCGATCTAATCTTTCTGTACCTACTTTTTTTTCAGAAACCAGATTAGATGAGGTATTTGGCCGCACAGGATATTTACCTACTGTTGATATGTTATCAGAGATACGATGCGTGGGTTCACCGGGCATTTTGGTTTCGGATATAAGCAGGAAACACTGAATAATAGTTAAGTTACGGTTTTTATGTTTGGAACAATGACTATTCGTTAAAATGTGTCTAATCTTCACAAAACAAACAAATGAATGTTTTTAAAGAAACGGATTGCGATGACGAATGGAATCTTCTATATTGTAGAACTTACCTAACTGGGTTTTAGCGCACAAAAACCTTTGGTTGTTATCACAAAGTTACAAGGTTCGGATTATTATGGCACGCTGTTACGATTATTTCTACTCGGATTTTGAAATCTTTCCATCACAATTCTACGCACAATTTCTCTTTCCCAAGTTCCCAACTTTCGAACTACATTTCATGGGTATGGAACGACTTATGTATACCTTCAGCCCCGTGTCACTGGTGATAATAATATCAACTATTGGTCAACAACAAATTCCGGGAATACATAACTTGAGAAATGAATTATGTTAAAGGTAGAGAAGGAGCATTTATAACTTTTTAACACAATTTATTCGAAATATTCAAATTCCCACGGAGAAAATCTAGAGACAACCAAATAATTTTGGTGTGTTTTAATTGTGGCGAGAACAGTCTAAATCAATCACTATGAACAAAAATGTATTAGTAAACAGCAATTTTCTTTCAGTTAAATGCCTTGACTGCATTGCTACAGAAGTTGCAGACTGCATTGCTGCAGTAGTTTCAGTATTCTGTACGTCAGAACTACTATCGTTCAATAATTGAATCCAACCGAACATTACATTACATTACCATCAGAAGTGTTCATTTTTGTAAGTTCACTTTTGTAAAAGGGTACAACTTTTTTAAATAAGTACCATTAATGCATTATGTATATTGAAAAAAAAAGCAGTTAAGAGATATTTCTTTAAACATGTGACGGACTCGATGTCTGTTAATAGTCATTGTTTTCAAGTTTACAGTAGATTAAATAAGGAATGACGTCAAATCGGGCGTGTCGCTGAGTACCTACTGCAAATGAAAAAAATACAGGAGTCCCCTTTTCATGCATTAAGGTTTTCTTTCATCGGAAAAGACCAAAGTTCGAACTACTCACCGACTAAAGTTCACTTTAAGAATAAAGCTTTCTTGCGCGGCAAAAAGGTTGGCAAAAAACAGGAGTAAATTTACTTAAGATATTATTATTACTTTCAGCTTCAGTAAAAGCGTTTAAGACCAAATAAATACCAATGCATTTTTTTAGGCAATTCGTTTCACAGGCAGACTTTTGACATCATGTGAACCTTCCATGCATACATTTTCAAAAGTCTGTACTACAATACTTCTTTGTGCAACATGCTATTACACCATTAGCTAGAAGGATGTCGTTTATGAGACGAAATCAAGAAAATCGGTTTGACCTTGTCGCAAAGATTCCGTCAATAATTTTCCGCGGCAGCTAAGTCACGTTACAAAAGTAAGTGCTTATGACATGAGGCGAGTTAAGAGGTGATCATTGAACAAATTGATCGAAAATTGTTTCTTATTGAGGATAATTGTTTTTAAATGTGTAGTGGAGATTAGAAAAGCTGACATTTATATAATTAACCCGTTTAATTATCCGTCTACTGAAATTTCCTTAATATACTTCACTTAATATTTATTTTCAGGCAACGGAAATTATTAAAAAAAAAGAATTATGACCATTGTATGTATGTATTCATTTTTTTTTAAGTTTTCAAATACAAAACTACCGATCAGACCTGAAAATAGATTTGCAGCAACAAAACGAACGTTGTACATCTGCACATGTAATTTAATGTTAGTCTTCACCACACAATACCAATTTGATACGAAATATAAAATATGTAAACGTACTGTATACAATGCTGTTTTCGAGAAGACGGTGAACAGTCTTACCAAGTAGACAATGACAAAACCGAGGAAGTGCTGTGCGTGTGTGTGTGTGGGGGGGGAGTAAGAGGTCTGTGCCCCTTCATAACTGTACATTTCTTAAAAACAAACTCAATTTATTGAAGACAATTAACAAAATTTGATTTCATCATATTCTATAGACGTATTCCCGTTAAGACCAAGTGGACGATATTTCATGAAGAGGTTCTAAACTCTACATCCCTGACGGAGGGTGTATGTTTCCGGAGTGGCGCGATATGACAATAGGTTGAAGGAAATGTTTGACATATTTAGATCGAGTTACACGTGGTTTTTAAACATGAGCACACACATGATTGCATGGGCGCCGAAAGCACTGTTTAAATGGTCTAGTTATTTTTTTGTATTTGTATTTAGCCATAATATGTTCCGTAAACGACAATTGGTCTTGTTAGATCCCGGAGTCTGATCGGTCACCCATCCAGGAACCCGCGATGTCTCTCGCTTACCCTTCGTGACTTATCACAGTTAACGAATTGGGCTAACGCCAGTTTCGCCATCGTAGCCTTTCAGTAGAAACATCCCAGCATTCGCTTGGATGACCGACGAAAATCATGAAAATCCCAGTCAGGACGGCACGGAATTGAACCCGGGCCTTCCGAATGCCAATTAAGCGCGCTAGGCCCTGAGCCACTTCGCTCGGTCCCCGAGATATGTACAGTAGTAAAGAAAATTCAACGTAAAATATGTTGCGGGTCACATGTGCGTCTGCTTTTCTTCTTCTATCATAAACTGTGAACTTTTATTATTTTCATCTTCAATATGTTTTATGGGTGTAATCCCCTCTCTATCAGTAGTTCACTTAGGGGATTTTGTGTCGTTGGGTTCTTACAAATGGTACAAGACAATAATATTTCCTAGGATACTGTACATAGATTAACATACTATTCACTACTACAGTACTACTTCTATACCGCCCTAAATATTACTCATGGCTACTCATTGGCATTACAAGTATTACGTTAGCAGTAATTTTCCTCCATGGAAGTAGGTTCGTCGATTTTATATTTATGTGCTTAATATCCAAACCTTTGTTGACTAGAAAATTACACTACACCGTTTACTTAAAAGTATATGATGACAAAGGAGAATAAAATACTTACCCTAGTTTTTAAGTAATAATCATGAAAATGTAAAAGAAAATGTTCGGATTTCAAACGTTCACTGACATTCGAACAAATATGCAGGCCCTTTGACTAAATTACAAATTTTAATAGTACTTGTTCAAAGTGCAATTTTCTACGCTGTGACGTAGTAAAATTAAAACTTAAAATTAAAAAAAGTAAGAGGTCTGAACATAATTATAAGTAGGAGTAGAAAGTGCCAAGTGAATTACCAAGAACGCCATTAATTATTATACATGGATAGAATAAAAAGAGAAAATGCGGCTATGCTAATAATATGTACGTCACGTCCATAAAATCGTTCAACGAATTAAAGATTCTCATTGTTTATAAAATAAACAACATGAGTTGTTGTTTTCTCAAAAGGTATGAACTTCTCTACACAGTCAAAACAAAGTGACTGTTCACCAGCTAATGCCAACATGGACAGCTTCAAGTCGATGTTTGCCTACGCAGCTGGAACTTACAAAGGAACTTTTTCCGACTTC